CACATGGTCCTAAGCCTTGTTTATTGCACTTGATTCAAAATGAGGTGTGAAGAAAAGATTTTTAATTTTCTCATGGGCCTTCCTATGGGATTTATTTTAATATCCAAGTATTTCATAAACATTAAGCATATTCTCTTTACAACACTCCTGTGAAATGAGGAGATTTTGTCTCAAATTTACAGATGTTAAACTGGGACTCAGAAGGTGTGTTTACACAAGCCACTTTACTATGCAATAGATTAGTTGTTGTGCTGTAAAGTGTCTCTGTCTACATGTGCTCACATTTACTGTGCCATGAATTAGTCTGCTGTGCATTTAGATACTACCTATGAATACAGGTAGTAAACTAACTGCACAGTAGATACTGTGCACTAACATGTAGATGTTGGCCAGGAACAAATCTGATCCTGGTCAGCCTAACCAGCAGGAGGTCATAGGGTATGGGGAGCTCTCTGTCTCTGCTCCTGGCACTTCTCAGCTCCCAGGCTCCCCCCAGGAACTGAGAGTAGATCAGCACCAGGACTGGGGAGTTCTCTGCCCCCTGTCCCAGCTCCTTGCGTGGAGCTGGTTGCTCTGGGGAGTGAGCAGGGGCTGGCAATCCAGCCCTTCCCTGTCCCCTGGAACAGCCAGCTGTGCGCTGCATGAAGCTGGCTACTCCAGGGGACAAGTGAGGGCTGGATTCCCAGCCCCTGCACACTCCCCAGAGCAGTCCGCTCCACATGGTGCCTCTATGTCAAGATTAAGCATTAAAAATAATTATTTAATAATAAGATTGTGTGAGACATTGTGCACACTGGGAGGGAACCTGATATGCCCAGGGCCATAAGAGAACTGCCTCTGCAGCAAGCAGCATGGAGGCAGGAGAGCTCTGCTTGCTGCAGGGGCAGTTCTCTTATGGCCCTGGGCATATCAGGTTCCCTCCCAATGTGCATGAGGCCAGGAGACAGCTGCCGCTGCAGCCAGCAGAGTTCTCCTGGCCCTGTGCCCACTGCAACCACTCAATGCCCCATGCCAGCCCCCGGGCTAGGACCGGTGGTGAGAAGGGGAGCGTGGAGCTCTCCCTGGCTGCTGCAGTGGGGCAGAACAGAGCAGAAGCAGTCCTGCACTGGTCTGCTCCCATTGGGAGCAAATCTGCTCCCAAGAGGGAGCATGTGTAGACATGCTCCCAGGTAGGCTTACTGAGCAGTATTTATACTGTGCAGTAAACCTACTTTGAATTAATAGCACATGTAGATGCGCCTAGAGAGTTTAAAGTAAAAAAAAATACACCAGTTTGGATTGCCCAGTTTGAGGACATCTACAACCTGGTTTTTCAATGTTATTTGCATTAACCTTGATGTAATCAGCACTTTGACAAATTAAGCTACAGTATCTCAGGTCAGGCATCTAGAAAATGGAGACCACAAAATCAGTGAATACCTTTTGAAAGTTTTAATCAACATATTTAGCATCGCACAGAAACTTTGTGGAACAGTCAGGGATAGAATCCAGTTTCCTACAGCACTCCGCTGCATTGACCATGACACTATCCTTTCTCTTCCTGCACATTGACAGAGGCAGGGGTTTTAAAGAAAAATTACATGTAATTGTGTTCAGACTATATCATAATGCATATGCACAAGGCAGCCAGAATGAAGGCAGCAAAAACAACTTTACTTCTGGCATTTCCTAACTTGTGAATACTTTACTTTGTAACCTTCTGTTTTTAAACATATTTTTAACTGGGAAAAAAACAAAATTTATCGTGTGACATTATATTGACACCAAGAAGGGTCATCAACAAGGTTGTAACTGTTAAAGGTATTTCTCTCACTTGATCTATTAGAGCAAGTGCTAACAGTACAATATTGCTATGCTCTATGTGCACTACATGGAGTTGAGGGCACGTTGTCAGCAGCTTTCAGATACTTTTCTCATGGGAAGAAAAAGACTGAGCTTCAGGAACTTTTGCCTTCATTTGAGGTTCTGGAAGTGAACATGCTGCAGTGGGCTCTCTTCCATCTTTCCAGGTGTGAACCTTCTGCCACTCCCATGTGCTCCACTCTTCCCTCTTCTTCACCCTCTTCACTCTCATCATTGCCAGTTCCTTTCAGTTCTCTGGCTTCTTGTCTCCAGTTTCCTTTTCCAGCCGGGCTAAGCCCCCTTTACTCTTAATCTGTCCTTCTCCTTACCCTATGTGTCTTCCAGTTGTCAACTGCCACCCCACCTTATTTCCAGTCCGAGACCCTCTTCCTGACTCTTTGTCCAGGATTGTTTCACAATCAAGCTCCTGGTCTCTGTCCTTTTCCCAGCTCATTCCACTTCTCCTTTGTCATTATTATTTCTCATCAGATGTCTTCTCTATTTCTCTGCCCCACTGGTCTCTAGTCCTAGTCTCTTTGTCCTGCCAGACCCTGCCTGTCTCAATGTCCATGCTGCCTGATAATCTCTTTCTTTCATGGTTTCCCAGTATCACTCTCTTTGCCCAGCTTCACTCTCTTCCAGTCCCACCAACCTCCAGTTTAATTCACCCCTATATCTACAGCTGGTTATTCGTCCAAGTCCACTGTTCTAGTCCCCCTTCTCCCTTTTGCACTCAGGCCAGCTATTTTCTTTCTTCACAGTGCTTGAACCAAGCAAAAAGGGGGCTGAACATTGAGAAAAAAAGGAGAGACGGGCTTCCAGCTCACAGTTCCAGTGCTGGGATTGGTCCATAGAAATACAGACTTGAAATAATATCCTAATTAGCCTTGGGCTAGAGCATGCCCAGTGTACACAGAATTTTCAGAAATTTTAGAAGAGAAGTTCTAAGAGTACTTTTCTGAGCATTTGAAAACTGAAACCTTTCCAGGGGTTTATAGCTTGCCCAAATGTGGGCAGGTTTTCAGGGGAAGAGTAGAAAGTACATACTAGGAATGAGTTTCAAGTCCCTGCTCCAAAATGTGGGCATACTAAGGTAACTCATGGAAAAAGTTGCCTGATTTTTAACATGGTCAAAGTATTGTATGTCTCTTTTGCCTCATTCTCAGAAATAAGTGCACCATTTTGGGTGAAATTTCCCGAAAATATTTCAGCATGATTCAGGTACCTGGCACAGAATTTTAAAGCCAAAATAGGTAAAATATTGCAAATTTATAATCAACTGAAAACAGCCTTAAAATGGAAAGTTTTAGGAAACCTTAATACTAATACTATACTGTCATACCAGCCATGCCTAAGATCTGTATGTATGCACAATGCATGTAAATGTAAATATATGTTAACTTTAGAGAGAGAGAGTGTGTGTTTGTATATATATATGTGTGTGTGTGTATATTATATATATATAAACACTATTCTGATGTTCTTTTCATATATATATAATATATATCTCTATATATAGAGATGTATCATGTATATCTATACATCTCTCTCTCTCTCTCTCTCTCTATACACACACACACACATGTTACTATGATATCAAATAGAGGGTCATGCTGGAAGTCAAATAGAGGGTCATGAAAAGAGCACCACAGTAGTTTCAGCAATAGTTGGAATAAGTATTTTGTCTCAAAATATTGCATCAGGCTGGTTAATATTGACAGGGTGAGCTGTTGTAGACACAAATGGTTCTGGATGTTCTTTCTCAGAAACCAGTAAACCACTATTTGGATGGTGAGAGGAAAGCACTTTTTCCTACAGAGCCTTGTGCATTTAGTGTCAGGGAACTTCTTGGATTATACCCGCTCATAGCTCTAGTCCATGATCATTTTGCACTCTGCTTAGCCTTTGGTGGTGAGAGCATCATAGTTACCATCATAGTTACAATACCTTCCGTGTAGGAGGGTGATTTTGGAACTGTCCCTACCCACAGAGCTCTGTATTTGGGAATGGTGTAGTAAAGCAGCACCTTTACCCTTTGCTTGGGTAACTGGGAGCACCCAAAGCTTCTTTATGGGAAGGGGCAGCTAAAGATGGTCACCAAGGACCTCCTCTGTTTAGCCTATGCAGACTTTGAGCTGGAATCAATAGCAGTGGCACCTTTCAAATCAAGAGATTTACCACAGTTGGAACATACCTATGACTGAGTGGGTGTGCAGTGGTAGGTCTGAACACTATTTTCCCTGGGTCTCATGAATTCAGAGAATAACAGTCACATCATCTAAAAGCAATTTTCTCACTTCTGTCTAAAGTGGATTTCCTCATAGAAATTGGCTGTTTTTTTCAGCTTACAAATAATGATGTCATAGTAATGACAGCGCACAATCTTATTATTCAATAATTATTTTTAATGCTTAATCTTGACATAGTGGCACTATTTATTCCATAGTGCTATACTCTAATGTAATGCCCTGTATTTGAACACTATATCATTGAAAGCATCATGCTTTAGCTAGAATGTATAAATAGCAACATGTTATAAACTTTTATAGGGATAACTGGAGTGTCCCTATAGTTAAGGGTGCTGTATAGCTAATCTGATTCTGAAATTCATTAATTCTAAAAGAATGTATATAGATGAGTAACATAACTTGTTCCTCTTTGATTTATTATAATTTGTGTAAGGTTGTGTTAGGTGAAAATGCCACTTGGTTGGGGAAGGCTTTTCTGAATCTGACATACGCCTCCATGGCTCTTCTGAATGTCCTGTGAACAGAATGATAATGTTCACAGTCCTGTTCATTTATTGTTAACAGAATTCCTAAAAATGGTAGAATGTTTAACGAACACATATGAATACTATTCAGTAGTATACACAATGACAAAAGGAACATTCTCCTGAGCAATTCACCATTTGGAAGGCAAAGAAAGTGAAATAATATATTTAGATTTTTAGTGCAATTACTTTTGATACACACTGAAGTTATTACAGTATATCCTTTCATTTTCTGCCTCATTTTAATTTATAAAACAGAGCAGCATAGATGAACTTTATTATAGTAATCCATAAAATCATCAACTTTCAGTAATATTGATCTTTAGGAATAATGTGTTACATAGTTGAAGAAATTAATTGACTAATGAATATTCTCTCTTTACAGATAAAGCTGTGGTACGACAAGGTTGGTCACCAGTTGATAGTCACAATATTGGGAGCAAAGGATCTTCCTTCAAGGGAAGATGGGAGGCCAAGGAATCCTTATGTTAAAATTTACTTTCTTCCAGACAGAAGGTAGGGTCAAGGGACTTTTGAGTTAGAATGAATTTAGCTAATCAGAATTCAGGCATTCAGGGTTGATAAAAGTTTGCTGTCTGCTACTTGTCATGCATATCTTCTTGATTAGTTTTAAAGATTGGCATTTCATAATTAAACATGTTATATAACAAAAAAGAATGTTTTACATAGACATTTCTTTACACACTTTCCGTTAAATTTATTTGGATGACAGAGAAAAGGTAGACTTACCTGAATTGCATGAGGATCTTTTATTTGTAAAGATTGTTATTGTTATGATCAGGCTATTTCTGTGGAATGGACAGCAAATTTCATGGGTTTATGCTCGTGAAATTCCTGACTGAACATTTCTTCAGAGTCCCTGGTTTCCCCTACCTCTGCACAAAAAACAGGTTGAAGCCCCTGTCATGCAATTGGATCCCTGCACAAAGTCACTACACCATAAGCTAGAATATTATGAAATTAGATAAATAGCAATTTATTATTAAAACAATATAGAATGTCTATGAATTGAAAAAGTTAAATATTTTATTTTATAATGTTTAAAAATAAAAATTTCAAGTCATCCTTTTTCCTTTTATGCAAAGAATATAGAATTTTCCCCTTAATTATTCCTGGCACTTCCTTTCATACACATAAAAACCCTAGTAGTTTATGTTACTGAGTTAGTTTTCTTCTGACAGCTAAAGTGCTTTTTCTTTTATCAGAAGCAAAAGCCTAGTGGGCAAAAATAAATCTCTTGTATAAGGAAAAGTAATATGCTAGAAGTAAAGTACAATTAAATAACTCAAGCATTTAATTAGGTGAGAAAAGGATGCTCACTAACTAAATAAATTTCACAGGAAAAAACTTGTCCGGTTTAACTTATTTTAGTTCTCTAGGCCATAGAAATCCGTAGTGTTAAAATAAATATTTAAGTTATTTGTTTTAATAATCCAACACATAAATTGTATTTATGAATGAATGATTGAATGAACAAGCAGAATCTGGATAAAATGCAACTTTGTAGTTAACATGTTCCTTCAACTTGTAGCTAGCAGAAGCCCACAAATACTTCAATTTTTATCAATATAGGTAGTATGTTAAAGTTAAGATCATTTACAAATATGCCAGCATCTCATTATACCACTTTTAAACCATGAATCAGTACAGCAGTACACAATGCAAAACCTTTAAATTTAAGAAGTTTGACAGTTCACGACACACTCATTATCATGAGCAGAACTGGTTGGGAAGTCTCTGCTGGAATGTGATATTGTCAGAAAAAGCTGATTCATCTAGACAGACGTGTTTCATAGATACAATGATTTCAACAAACTTTTCTCAAGTCATAGGCAAGCTTCCCATGGAACCAGCTCACCTGGAGGCTTGCTTAGGCTCCTGGGCTTCAGGATGTAGGGCAGCATGGCAGCCTTGTGTGCACCCTGTGCAGAGGCTGTGGACTCCAAATTTCAGGGTCCATTGTCCTGTGGCACTGCTGCTCACTGGCTGCATTTACACAAGATGCTGACTGCACAGTTATTACTTTGCAGTCATTTAAGTATTTCCATACACAAGTACTAAATTACTTCACAGTAACCAGAGTTACTGCACAGTAGCATCCCTGAATTACTTCTTCGTGATGCTGACTGCATAGTAGCTTGTTACTACTGTGCAGTAGCATCACGTCATGCTTCATGCCATGTGACACTACTGCACAGTAGTAATGAGCTACTACGCAGTCAGCATCTTGTGTAGATGTGGCCACTGTCCAGACGGGAACCTCAGTAATTTGGGAACGCCACCTCTAACTGGGGCTTTCAAGGCTTCCAGACTCCTTGTCATTCCCTGAAATTCCTGAGACTGGCTTCCAGGGTATGCATCTGTGGGGCAGCCTAATCATGCAGACTGTTCCAGGGGAGCTCCAACATGTGGGCTGCAATAAGGCTTTAGATTCCAGGATTTCTGGATTACTGGTCCTCTGGCTTGCCAGGCTGGCTAACTTCATAGCATGGGGAGCAGGCACCCTGAGATTTGGACAGCTTGGGGAGCCTGGTGATTGAGGAGTCTGGAAACAAGGCTTTCTGGGAACTGCAGGTAATGGAAGTCATGGCTGAAACTGAGTGAAATTAACAAGACTGATGGGGTTCCAGGGAGCACATTTTAGTTTGAATATGCCACGACTGCTGTTTTCAGAACAAACTTAATCAGCATTTATATTTTGCTGGAAATTTCTAAATATTTGCTTTTACCCTGAATTGGAACAGAACCAAATTTCAAAATGCCAGTGTTTTTTATGAAATAAAAATTCAGAGATTTGATGAGCTCTAGTCATGGCTAACAAAACTATGACTTACTCCCATACGAATCCCATACAAATCCTACAGTTTTAGTTTAGCATAATTGCCTCACTGGGTTTTTGGGGGTGGAGGGGTTGAGGGGGCAGAGGCTTTTTGTCAGTATTTCAAATTAGTGTTAGTATAAGAGATCCAACCTGCTATAAAACACTTAGAACAATGTAAGGGCTTTTGCAAGTCTTTAATTTTAATTGTCCTTTGCAGTGATAAAAACAAAAGAAGAACAAAAACAGTAAAGAAAACTTTGGAACCCAAATGGAATCAAACATTCATTTATTCTCCAGTTCATCGGAGAGAATTTCGAGAACGAATGTTGGAGATTACTCTTTGGGACCAAGCCCGAGTTCGGGAGGAAGAAAGTGAATTTTTAGGAGAGGTATTTGAAACTGTTTTGACTCTTCATAATCAGTGAGCAAAATGCCAGTAACACATGGATGGATGGTGATTTGTCTGGCTCTTCTGAATAAAATCATAGAACCATAGAAAGTTATGTTTGGAAGGGACCTCAGGAGGTCATCTAGTCCAATCTCTTGCTCAAAGCAGAACCATCCCCACTAGATCATCACAACCAAAGCTTTGTCTAGTCAGGTCTTGAAAACCTCCAAGGATGAGTCCACCACCTTTCTGGATAACCTGTTCTGGTGTTTTACTACCCTCCTAGTGAGAAAATTCTTCCTAATATCTAACCTAAACTTCCCTTGCTGCAAATTGAGACCACTGTGCCTTGTTCTGTCATCTGCCAGCACTGAGAATAGCCTTCAACTCCCCTTCAGGAAGTTGAAGGCTGTTATTAGGTCCCCTCTCAGTCTCTTCTTTTCTAGACTAAATAAGCCCAATTTCCTCAGTCTTTCTTCATAAGTCATGTCTGGATGCTTATCTTGCTGGGATCCTATGATCCCAGCTGACTTCCTGCCCTTTGGGCAGGGGGCTGGACTCAGTGATCTTCCGAGGTCCCTTCCAGCCCTAATGTCTATGAAATCTATGAAATGTCCTCCAGCTCCCTCAATATTTTGTTGCCCTTCTCTGGACTCTCTCCACATCCTTTTTTTGTAGTTGGGGGGGCCCAAAACTGAACACAGTACTCCAGATGTGGCCTCAATAGTGCTGAATAGATGGGAAGAATCACTTCCCCTGGCCTACTTGCAACATACCTACCAATACAGCCCAATATGCTGTTAGCCTTCTTGGCAACAAAGGCACACTGCTGGCTCATATTCAGCTTATTGTCCACTGTAACCCACAGGTCCTTTTCTCAAATTTGATTTAAAAAATGAAACCCTTAAAAGCTGACATATATTTACTTAGTTTATTGTGTAATGTTAACTCTAACAAACTGACATTTACCATGTGATGCTGATATCAGATTAACTCTATAATTATTTTATCTTAAGAAATATTAGCATGCATATATCTATATTCGTCTCTGGTACAATTTTATATAAGAGAGTGGAATAAGATTGCTATTTAATTGTCATTAAGATGCTTAGACATTGTTAAGTGTCATTAAGGTGATCAGATTGGTGTTAAAGCTATAAGAGGCAATCTAAAAATGATGGAAGTATCCAAAGTATAACTTAGGCGTTTTAAGTTCACCAGAAAAATTCAGCGCCTAAAGTTATGTAACTGCATATGCCCAGAACTGCTGCCACCTTAGGTGAGGTAAGTGACTACCCTGCAGGATCTGATTTGGTAAGCATCCTCTAAGTACATCTAACATTTTGCAAGAGCATTAAGCTCAGTATAGAGTATAATAGCCACAGCGACTTCCATTAAAAATGTAGCAGAAGGACTAAGAGAATGACAAAGAAAGGAGCTGGTAGTGATTGTGACTACTGTTTTTTTACATAACAATCTAGTGGTTAGGGGATAACCCAAGACTAATGCCTAAACAGTCCCAGACACAGTGACCAAACCCAGAATTCCATCCACTCCCAAGGGAGTGCCCTCATCACTGAGCTACGGAGTTATGCTGCTTACTTTCTCACCCCATGTCTTCTGCATTCCTTTCTAAGAAGTGACCAACTTCAGCGTAAGGAGTGGAGAGTGCACACCCCAGCTGAGGGCTCTCTCTTGGGAGGTGAAATGTGTATATTTGAAACTCTTTAGACTGAAGAGGGTCTAGAGCCAGTCTCCAACTCCTGGGTGGGAGCTCTAAATCATTAAATTATTACATAGACAAGGGACACTGGCATCATCTCCATCTCTACCTCCATCCATGTCTTATGGAGAAGAGTAAGCCAATCCCCTATACTCAAAGGGACAACCCAGGTGCCTTAGAGGGGTATTTGACTATGAATCCCAGTTTCACATAAGTGCCTAAACAGGTAGTCACCAAAATCCAGGAGGAATTCAGGCACATCAATCTCTTTAGCATTTCCTATTGGCTAGTTCCTTCTCTTAATCCTCTTCCTAGTCACTTGACTCTCCTCATTTGCTACATAGGACATGTAGGTCCATAACACAGGTTTGTGATTTCCACTCCTGGAGCTGGTTGCCCAAGTCCTTTGCTGGATCTTGCCCTAAGTAGTTTTAGCTTATTCAGAGTCATGGTTTGCTGGAAGTGATATGTGCCCATAAGAGGTATGTTTGCGTGGCTGTGTCTACATGAGACTCTGACTGCACAGTCATTACTGTGCAGTCATTTAGTATTTGTATGAACAAGTTACTGCACAGTAGCACTGACGAACGCCTTTTTCGTGATGCCACTGCTCAGTAGCCTAATACTACTGAGCAGTAGTGCTGTGTCATGGTTGTTGCCATGCAACACTACCACACAGTAGTATCAGGCAACTGCATAGTCAGTGTCTCATGTAGACGCGGCTGGTAAGTACATAATTTTTGTTTTATTTTCAAAATGTGTATTTTTACAGTAAGATAATGAATAGAATAACATATGGAAATGACTATTTTAAAATACTTTTCTACTGTATAATGCTTTTGCATGTTCCTTTTTAGATTCTTATTGAGTTAGAGACAGCATTGCTAGATGATGAACCTCACTGGTACAAACTTCAGACGCATGATGTCTCTTCATTGCCACTTCCCCACCCCTCACCATATTTGCCACGCAGACAGCTACATGGGGAGAGCCCCACACGGAGGCTACAAAGTAAGTTGATAATTTTACAAATGTTGCATATATTTTATCTGAACTCCTGTGTACTTCATACTACTTCTAGGCCAAAGATTTGTAAGAGCACTAGCTGACATTGTATATGTCAGTTTTCTGTTCTTATGAAGCACATCTTTTGTGATTACCTCTGAGATTCTGAAGTGCTCAAAATACTAACAGTGAAAATAAAAAGTATTATCATATTTGCTTCTGTACGAAAATGCATTAAAATAAACATTCCAACCTGGAATTTAGTCAGTGGGCAATGGTATAAGTTTGTGGCAGCTTACAACGTGGTCCCTCTTTTATTTTTGTCATTTGATTGTACAATCCAAAGAGAAGGTAGTACTTCAGCCTATTTTTTAAAGGGAAACTAATGACTAATAATGAATTTAATACAGTGGCTTGTTACTGTCTTTTGATGCTGCTATAACAGAGAGACAGATTCTTGCCATAATAGAAAGAAAGACAGATTTACATTTGCTTAAATTTCTGAGAAGTCAGCATTGTCAAACAATGTGCCAGGGCAACATGAACATTTTGTAAACAGAAGTTAGATTTGTATTAGTATTTTGCATCTTTCAGTATAAGTGATTCATGATAGACTGGATTAAGTAGTAGAAATATTTAAATGGGATATTCATTGTGTTGGTAGAACTGGATCTTTAAGACAGAATATGTGATAGTTATAAATTAATCATATTTTACCATCACTTTCTTCGTTTCTACTGCTTAAATTACCCACTAACATTAGGAATTCAAAGCTGTGCTACATTGATGTAGCCTTAAAAATGTCTATAGGCATTGTGAAAATCCTTTATAATTCCTACATATTATTTTATAAAACATTGAAAATCCATTTCTAAGATTTTTTTGCATTTCCTTCTCTATCTCACTGTATGAGCATTTGGCATAATACACATAATTATATTATATTTAATAAATGGACTATATTTCTATGTGTGCATGTGCATATATGCACACAAATCCACAAAATGGGCAGAGAATTCTTTAAAATGTTGGGGTATGGGGGATCAGTTAACTTCCAGTAATTATAAATTCTACATGGATTCTCTAATAATAAATTTACACAGGTAAGTGTTTGTAATAGTTGTCTGCTTTTGGGTTAGTACACTTAAATGTGAGAGGAAGTAGAATGCTCCATATCATAATATTTTGAAATTAATTAAAATGAGTCATGTTTATGATTTATAACCTTGTAGCAGTGATATTATCAATACTTCTTTCTTTCTAAAAGAGTTTTCTTTCTAAAAGATGAGGGTCTCTCTTTCAATCCAGCATTTTTCAATGCCCTGGATCCAGTTTGAGATACATTCTTATGGTATTTAAGTGCTTTCCTTCTTTGCTTTATGCTATTAACTTTTGTGAAATGTTTTAATAAAATAATCATGGATAGTGTAGTAGAGCAGCTTTACTTTTTAGGGTCCATTTGTTTTCAGCATTAGTTAATTATTTCTAGTTTTCACAAAATAATACATCCCTACAAGGAACCCCACTGGCTTTTAGTATTTCCCATCTGTTCAATCAAGTGTTGGCCATTAGTGATGAATAGAACAACTGGTTGCTTTGTTTTGGGGAAGATTATAGTGATGTTAGATTCAGGATTTATTCAAAGATTTTACCTCAAATGTTGAGACTCCAAAGGAATAGCTTGCCTTTTCCTGGACTCATTTGAACAGTCTTGTAACTCTGGAAACAGTCATGGAAGGTCTTATCAAACACGGTACACTTAAATATTTGCTCTGCTGAGATGTCTGGACTTTGTGCAAAAATTAAACTTATTCTGATTAGCCCCAAAGCAGTACATAAACACTGTAAAGATATGTTGCATTTTAAAGGTATGTACAGATGTTAAAGTGCATCCTTTGAAGCCCTTCAAAGGGTGAGCCATACAGTTGTACATACTCTTTGAAGCACTGCAAAAAATGGCTGCAGTGCTCCAAAATATTACTTGTTAGAATGTGATACTATTTCAAAGTGCCTTGTTTCTTTATATGTCTGTATGCTTACAGGAGATTCCTGAGTCCTCCAAAATCCCACAGTGCCCTTCTACTACTTCTCCCCAAACTGTCAGTGGGATCTGTCCTACTGCTTCACCTCTGTTCTCCCAGAGGCCCCCTGGTCCTTCATTCTTTCCTTCCCTTGTTGCCAGAGTTGGTGACCCCCTGCATTCCTCCCCACTGACACTGGGAGATCCCCTGTGCCCCCTCCCACTGAAGCCAGGATTTTGGCTGTCTAGCTCCCCATCCCTGCCTGCCTGTCTGCTTCTGGTCTCTTGGTTCTGGTGGGGTGGCACAGGGTGTCCAGTCTCCTGGTTCCAGCAGGAGAGCAGAGGCAGAAGATCAGGAAAACACTTGCTGACATGGGCTCTGTTCACCACACTGCATCCACATGGAAGTAGAGAAGTGCAGCCATAGCCCCAGGAGAAAGGGCTGCAGAGCAGCATTGGCAATTCCTTCCACTCCCCCTACTCTGTGGGGGAAGGGGGGAACAGAGGCACAAGGCACTGCAATCCCCTGTTTCTCCCCTGGCCGGAGAGCATGCTGCCATATGCAACTGCAGTTATTCTGAAGTGCTTCAGGCAGGGGGCACAACAAGGACTGCCTGTCTCTCTATTGCCTGAAATGGAATGTTTTTTAAATGTTTCCAAATCTGTTACCCTTAGAAATATCCAAAATGTTATGTCTGTGCACGCACAAAATGTTCCAGAAGCTCCGAAACACCGAAGACAAGAAGAAGTTTTCTGTGTTCCTGGTAAATGATGGAACTCTCACAGTTTTCCCTCTGGTGTAAGGCTTTGCACCATTTTGGAATGATACACACCCAAACTTAGCTGAGGAGCCCAGTCAGAAGGATTTCGCACTCAAACATAATCCCTCCCATAGCCCACAACTTCACCTCAGGGTTGTAGGACTGTGCATATTTCACATAAGTTTTCAAGTTATGTAAGTTATTCCCAATTTAAGTAGGAAAAGATTTTGAAAGACAATATATTTTGAAAACGATACCCTAGATTTGGTTCTGGGAAAACCTTCAAACTGATTTTTAGTAGCTACTGTAGTTAAGTAGGAATTCTTAAAGGTAAAGAATTCCTACTAAAGCTAGATAGCTAAGAAACTCCATTAATCGGTAACAAGTCTTATGACTAATACATGAATCAGCAGTTTAATAAAAAGCTTCCTTGAATTGTAAAATACTTGTGTTATATTCATTTGCCTGAATCGAAAGTTACAAGTATCTTGTGGAGGAGTGTGAGTGGGCCATAGCAGCAATGAGGGGACAGAATGCATATATCTTTATAGAATACTAACAGCATTAAACAGGTGAAGAAAAATTTGGTGTAAGTCCTTTTTGTTGGAGATTTCAAGAGAAGATTAAATTAAACTAAAAAAAATATCACTATCTCTCGTTCTTTATGAAGGTCCTCCATTAAAAGCATCTGTCATTAAGAAGTCTTCTAGGTAACTAAATATTAATACAGATCTCAGATTATAACACTTTATCCTGAGCAAACAAATACTTGTAAGATTAAGTTTTTTACTTTGAAGATATTATTGCTGTTGTCAGTTAATTCATATTATACAGAAGTTGAGTTCCAATTTTTTTGAAGTCTGAGTGGATAGATCATTTAAAGGTCCCCTGGTTTTATTCTGGAGTAAACCCTTAGAAAGTAGGTCTAGCTTGTTTCTTTCCTGTGGCTACAATATATGCAATAGGATATGTACAATAGTGTGCAATAAGAAATGCCTCACTTCCTGCATATAAAAATAGCTACTATGAAAAATAAATTGTTTGTTTTAAAGATATAGGCGTATTTATTTTTTTGAACAGTCTTTATTTTCCAAAGGAAAAGATATTGTGAAATATAAGGCTGTTTGTTTTTTCCATAAACAGACAAATCTGGGCTTTATTGTCTCCAGGAGTGTAGGTCTACCTATAAATACGTACCATAAAAGAACAATAAAAAAACCCTTCATTTTTGTTCTCTGAAGACAGTATAATAGGACTGCCTACACTTACTGCTTGCCTTTCTTGATGGAGTTGGAGATGTTTTATTTGACTTAAGGTACTTTCTAGTCTCTTTTTCACTTCAGTGAATTTTAGTGCTCATGAAAACTGCCAGAATGACAGCCCTGAAGAATGCAATCCTGTATTTATGGACAGCCAATGGTGTGTAATGCAAGCTTCCCACAGTGTCCCATATGCTGTTTTTCAGAGACCAATTCTAATAGAGAGAGCTTCCACATCAAATTTCCCCTCATCAGCGTGAAAAAACATGTTATATTGTAGATACGTTCACTAGAAATTGATCTAACCTTTAGTCTGTTTTCATTCATGTCATTGAATGCAAAATAGATGGTGTCTTCTAATTGTGCTGGATTTGAACTGGTGCAGAACCCCAGGAATATCAATTAACCTCCTTTAAAAAAACAACAACAAAAAACCTATTACCTCAGTAACCACCTGAAACTCTCCACCTGCTCTCATCAGTCCTTTCTGCTGGTTCAGTGAAACAAGTGTGTCTAATGCTTTTCACTTCTTCTCCACCTCCTCTTCTCCAATCTCTTCCTTGTCCTGATCAATGTAGTATTTTAGTTTATGCATCCCTCAGCTTCAGGCACTCTTTCAGTGAAAGCCAACCTCTTAAAAACCCAGAGGTTTCTTATTTTCCATATACTGGTTGTAACACTTGCTAACACTGCTCTTAATATTGTTTCCTCGGGTCCCTTTGGTATGAGCCCATACAACACCATCTCTTGTGTTAAGGACTGACTTACTTTTGTAACACTTTCAAAAAATGATGTACACTTTCCCACACAAATTTTGCATATGTATACTCCCAAAACATGTCCCACCATTTCGTCATCCCTGCACCTCTCCCTTGGATACTTTACTGTTCTTGCTAAGCTCCATTTATGTTGTATCTCCCTTACCAACAAGATATTTCGTTATGATCAGCCACACTAGATCAGCAT